GATTGCTAATAGGACCTATGCAATCCCTAAGATGCCCCATAAACCATGTCCATGAATCAGAGGTTTCAGATTTGCCAACCCCGTAAGCTATTGGCAATATCCCATTGTTAGCATCCATGGCTACTGCTAATAAGTTTACTCCAAGGTATCGACCTTTCAAATGTGCTCCGTCAACTATAATAACTGGGCGCATGCAAGTAATAAATGAACGAATCTACAAAATAATATACACAAGAAATATAATCATTTAAATGTGAAATGCATGTAACTAACAAAAATGAGTCAACAAAATTATATTGATTTACTAACCGTAGCACCAATGGCGATAAACAGCAACTCAAAGTGTCCATCTCTATCTGTTTTGATATGAGTTACCGACCCAGGATTTTTCAGCTTTAAATTGTGACAATAAGCCGGCAGTTGGGCAAACGATGCTTCTGGCGACCCCTCAACAATTCCAAGGCATAACATTTGGCTCTCCAAGCTTGAGAATATGATATACTAATCTTGAACCGAGCATTCATGTCAGTCATAATTTCATGTCCCCGATATACCCTGCCATTCAAAAACATTAACTCAGCCAGAAAACCACCCAACACCTTTTTGTTTTCCTGTCTATGGTGAGGAAAAACTTGGGTTCTTGAACATGTATGTTTATCAATAAAAGTCCTAACTTGAAACATTTCGCAATCTTTTATTCTCTTTGCAATCATACGCCACGTACAGTTTTTGTCAATCATACACCTTGTTTCGAAACGATCTTTGCTTGATTTGTTAACTTTTAGTTGATAGTCATCTTCCACACATTTCGTATACAAAGCTATCTTCAAGTCTTCCTTTGTATCAAAACAATCATCTTTCTTGATACGAATAACTTTTGTGTAACAATCAACTGCTTTCTTTACCAACTCTTCTTCCGGTATCTGAAGTAATTCTGGCATATTCCAGTTATACGCCCGTGGCATTTTCTTTTCTTCGGGGACTTTTTCTTCTTCTTTTTCTTCTTCAGGATTATATGAATTACAGAATGGATGTTCAACATGTTCATTCACAGTCGTAACTTCCTCCTCATTATCATCAACAATACATTCTTCGGCAACGGCTGTTTCATCATCAAAATTCGGGTATTGACCAATATCAAAATCATTACACGCAGGGTCTGTTTCTTCTTCTGAAACATCATCAAAATCCGTGTATTGACCAATATCAAAGTCCGGATATTGACCAAGACCAAATTTCGAATACTGACTAGTACTCACAATTTTTTCTGTTGGCTCATCATCGTCTAACTGGTCAATACGAAAACCGGAATTTGGTGCTGAAAGTTGATTGGGATTTGGATTAGAGAAAGGTTGTGGTTTTTGAGAAAAACTTAGTTGATTACTACCCCCTACTGACCCAACAATACTACTTCTAGGTTCAACAACATATAATGTAACATCATCTTGTGAAACACTAATGTAAGCAATGAATCGTTCAACATCTTCATTGTCGGTTAACAAATAAACTTTACCATTTCTCTGATAAGATAGCCTAAATCCACTTAGGGGCTCTAAATTCAATTTATTTGAAACACGTAGCATTAGAGTTTCATAAGTTAACTTTTGTAAAGACAATTTTAGTTGAAGATTCATGGGTAAAGGCATATATTGTAAAACACCATGAACATTATCCCATGACCCTCCAAAACACAAATCTATCCAAACATGATCAACATTAGATGATTTCATGGTTGTAAATTAATTTACTAAACAGACGAGCTGCGAAACTAAAACCTGTTGCCGGATTGGGAAGGATGTCGTTGGATATAGGAACGGATGTCGCCGGAGAGAGTGATAGATGGAGATGGAATGAGTTGCGATTTAGGGATTTAGTTTATGATTTGCTGCTGTTGCGTAGTTATATACCCAAAATTTCAGTGTTGTGATTTACAGATTCTCGTTGCGATTTACGGATTATCGTTGCGATTTACAGATTCTCGTTGCGATTTACGGATTATCGTTGCGATTTACGGATACGCGTTGCGATATACGGATACGCATTGCGATTTACGGATACGCGTTGCTATTTACGGATACGCGTTGCTATTTACGGATACACGTTGCGGTTTACGGATACGCGTTGCGATTTATGTGTTCGCGTTGCGATTTTCATATTCGCGTTGCGATTCTTGAAAATCGCAATGCGAATTTGTACTATCGCATTGCGATTTTCAAGAATCGCGTTGCGATTTTGGAAACTGATTTGCGATTCTAGGGATCGCGTTGCGATTTTTATTTCGCGTTGCGATTTTGTTGGTCATTTTGGCAAATCCAAAAAAAGTTGGTTAAAATCGTATATTATAAGGCATTTTTGATCACTGAGGCGATTTTCTCTTTTATATTTGATGTCTATGTTTTGACAAAAATTAGATATATATATATATACTTTAAAATATTTAATTTTATATTTCTATTTTGATAAAATATATATGATATTTCTATTCTGATAAAATATCTAATATGTGTATTTTTAAACGTTAAAATGTGACACCTGTAATTTGATAAAATGTAAAGTATTAAAAATATAAAAAAAATTGATGAAATTTAAAATTATAGAGTGATGTTTCTTTTTTCTCAATCTATTGCTTCAAATCACCAGATATCAGCTCCTTATGCTTATGCAACGTTCAAACCTATATCAATCATAAATTGGAGGCACATACAAGGAGGCTGAAATTTGTGGTGGCTGTTGTTACAACAAAGCCAACCCTCTCGGATCCGGAGTTTGAAGCTCTGACAGCTTCCCTCACTCTCATCACAACTAATTGGTTTGCATTACCACATCCACTGACTTCACTCTATTTATTTTAATCGTACGGTTTACGATATTCGGATTTCCTCCCTCCACATTTTTGTTCCTATACTCAGCCGACACCAACACCAACACCAACACCAACACAAACTAATTTTGAGAAAATAATAAATTACACATTTACTCATTGAATTTTAATTTATTATATTTTTCTTATTGTACTTTTTTATTTTTTTAATTTATTCATTAAATTTTATACATTGAATTTTTTTATCGCTCTGTCATTAATCTTATAACGGCATTATGACGTGACAATTAAAATCAAAACGATATAGTTTTAAATCGTATAAAAAAATAAAATTTATACTAAAACGACATAATTTTGGTCTAAATAAAAAATATTTCTCCTCATTTTCTCTTTTTTTTTCTTCCCCCATTCACTCTCCAGCTCTCCTCAACTTCAATGGGTTCTACAATGAACCCAAATTTCAACCACCATGCAAGCCGCCATTCCAACCTTCATAACAGCGGTTTGCTTTACTAAAACAAAATTATAACTTTTGCCTTCGTTTCTTAACCAAAATACCATCCATTGATTCTAATAAAACCATGAAATCCTTCGTGAGATGGCGAATCTAACACTCCCCCTCTTTCAGAACATCACCGTCTCTCCCTCTCCTTCTCAAAACTTAATCGGCATCAGTGTCGGTCTAATAAGTTTTAATATCCTGGGTGAGATAATAATTTTATGTCCCTATACTTAAACCGTATAATAGACAAAACATAAATAATTTTTTTAAAACAATAAATAATTAATTTTTTTGGATCTTCGTCGCCTACCCTAAGTCTTGCATCGACCAATCAAGTGTTTTGGGCTAATTTTTTTGGGCCAAATATATATACACACTATAAGCACTAAAAAATTGGTGCCCCTCAAACATTCTGCCCTGAACTAAGGCCCATCTGACACATATATTGGGCCGGGCCTGACTGGTACTCCTCTATTTGGTAAGTAAATCCAAAATGCCACTCTACAATTTTATATCTTTGGAATTCAAACATCCCCAATTTAAAATCAACAATTTCCAGATTAAAGATCCTCGGTTTACTAGATTGGTTGCTATTTTTTCTTTTTGCAGGTCTGCTACTAGTAGATGCTGTTTATTTGTTGAGTGGGTTTGTAAAATTATTGGATTGTTGATTTAGTTCATTGTGGCAGGGGTCAATCCATTGTGGCTTTCTATTTGGGATTAGTATTTTATTTGTAAGTCTCCTCCTAGATTGGGTTTACCATAACTAGATTGAAGGGTCCAAAAATTAGAGTTCATACTAAGTTCAAGAGAAAGAGAGGTCGTTAGAGATGGCTTCCTCGGGAGCACCAAAAATATTAACAATGAGATTTGAGATGTTTTTCGGTTAAAGAAACACTAAATTCGCATTTAAAATGATGAAATATTCGGTGAAATTTTTTTAGAATCATTCACCTCCGGTGACGGTGATCGGATTTGGTTAGAATGGCGATCGGTATGGTGGCCGGAATATGGGAGGAAGAAGAAAGGAGAAAGGGCAAAAAAAAATGAAAAAAAAATAAAATTATTATTTTTTATTTAGATCCAAACTACATCATTTTGGTATAAATTTGAATTTTTTTTAAATCCAAAACTATGCCGTTTTAATATTAATTGCCACATTATAACCCTGTTAGAAAATTAATGACAGAATAACAAAAAAATTCAATATATAAAGTTTAACGAACAAATTAAAAAAATTAAAAGTACAATTAATGAAATAATAGAGAATAAGATACAATAAGCTTGTAATTTACCCTAGAAAAAATTATCAATTTCTACTTTCCCATAATCTCGAATAAATAAATTTTCCGCGGTTAAATGAAGACTTTGGACATTCTATCCAAGTGTTTACTTTTTGAAGCTCACCTATCACATCTTCCAAAATTAATTAATGAATGTATTAAAAATATGGATAACACATAATAGATTGGATCTCTGACCGGTTTTGCCAAAATGCTCAAGACAAAGTGCATAATCCTTAGACCAAAGAATCATTACTCCACTCGTCCGAATCGACAATCCAAGGACTGACCAAACGGCACAAGGCATCAGACTCTCATCTGTTCTACCTTCATTCCCCTTTCGGCCAATTTACAGCCAAACAATTCCATCGATGATTAAAGAGAATGACAGCAGTGGTACGAAAGGGTAAATAACATTTACTTTGAACAGGCAGTAATAACAATTAGTCTGCAATTTGAAGTCAGCCACCACGATAACTGAAAAACAGAACTAACTCGCATAACTAAACCCAAAAACCAACCACCCATTTTGTCTTCCAGCAATTTCTCTGAGGGGGCCTTCCTAGCAACAAATACACTACTCAAACTTTTTCTCTACTACCAGTTTTGTGGTCTGTGGTCCACATTAGTCAACTTTTTTTTTACTATCAAACATGATACATGTACATAACAGAAAGGAGTTTTGATGAAAAGCAAATTCATATAACAAAGGATCAAGAGAGGTAGAATTGTAGAAAGATCAAGGGATGGCAGCCATCCAGCTTCCAGAGACTGTAAGTGTCGAGGGAGAGCAGAAAATGATGCTAGACAGGCCCCCTCAATCATGGTAATCCAGAGATAATATTTCCTGTGTCACGCATCAACTAGGAGATATCAAATCTCATAATAACTTCCAAAGTTTTATGTTCCAGCTGGATGCGTGGAATGTTGTAGCCCCATTTGCCGTTTCACATGATCTGGAATCAACTTATTAATAAGCTCTGGCGAAGCCCCAGATAACTGTAACCAGAACGTCAAATAAAACCTCAGATAGAAAATAATCCAACCTAGAGTACTACATGAAGATACATCTTTGTACAAATTCAAAGGTATATGAGAATGAAGCTTAGTGCAGAAACATACTTCCTGTTTAAAGTTGAACAGTTGCTGTAAAGGTCGTCCATTTGGTAGCCGAGCATTAGGTTCTCGAAGCTCATCAAAAAAGGGATGTGCACATGCTTCAAGCTGACATAGAAAAGAGCATTTTACATGACACGAGGCTAGGGTGGTGGTCACTAAATTTAACTTTTTGGGAGCCAAATGCTAACCGAGGGTTGTGCACATTTTTTTATGTCTAAAATGGAAATACAGTCCATCAAAGTGGTAGGTAGTAGGTACTAGCAACTTACAGCTGTACAACGAAGACTTGGCGAGTATTGCAGGAGCCTTGAAGCAAGATCAATTGCTTCTGGAGGCATCCTTTTGTGAAAAACCTAAATCCATGAGCAAAAATATCCACAAGCCATTAAAAAAGAAATGTTCCTTCAAAGAGAAATTTATAAATTTAAATAGAACAAAAGGCAAACCTTATGCCATGGATGCGCTTTAATCTGTGGAAACCTGAAATCTGTGTAATTGGGATTCATGCAGCGAATTTCTTCTCTAGTGGGTGTACCTAGGACCTACAGGAAAAGATGTAAGAAGCAAACTTGTGATACAAGAAGAGTAATTCAAGAATCACTAAGCAAATCATACCTTGATAATCTCTACAAGCTGGTCCACAGCATTCTCCCCAGGAAACAATGGCTACAGAAGAAAAAGAAAAGCTAACAATGATCAGGGAACTGAATTATTGCTAGAGATTTTCAAAAAGATCAAAATCAGAAAAGAAGAGCAAACACTAACCTGGCCCAGCAAAAGTTCAGCAAGAACACAACCGGCTGACCAGATATCAATTGAGGTTGTGTATTCCGTGGCACCAAATATAAGTTCTGGTGCCCGATAGAAACGCGAACATATGTATGAAATGTTAGCTTCACCTTTGACCTGATTACATGTAAATCAATAGTACATGTTAAGTACTGATAAAAATAGACAAGCAAAATAGGATGAACACGTTAATACTGCTATTTGATCTAATCCAACTTCAAAGCAGTAGTAGACTCAAAATGTGTCTCAAGAAAATCCCACCAGTTCCCCACCCCCACAATCCTTTTCTTCTTTAGCCCTTCATGCCTACAAAGAGGCCTAAAAATACGGGTAAAGCTAACAAGGGAGAAGTGTCCATTTGTAAAGGATCAGACTAGAAAAGATAAAGGTCAGTTAAAATTTCATGTATATTAAGCATTTATAATGGCATAAAAGAAGACAGGTTACATGAGCTTTAGCAGAACCAACAGTAAGGAGTCATAAACTTGTGTTATCAGAATGCTGATTCTGCAAGCTAGTACAAGAGAAATACCTTGCACCTTTCACAAATAACAGATGATAACATGAGATAAATCCCTTTAGAAGTTACAACCAGAGTCAAACATTCAAAATAGTTATTAAAAAAAGAGCAAAAACTCCCCATTTACTTTTCCCAAAAAAAAAAGAAGAGCAAAAATTATAGTTTTAGAACCCATGAACCCGATAAAAATGCTTCACTTGGAGCAAAACTAAACAGCCAAATTTGAAAGCAAGAGCACTTGGAATGTTAGTAAAAAAGTGTTAACTCACAAGCACTTTTGCACTTCCAAAGTCACAAATCTTAACCTGGTGTGTCAAAGGATCAACCTGTACAAAACCAACAATTATCTCTCAGAAACAATGCCAAGACATTGTACACAAATTTTATCAGTAAGAAAAGCATACCAAAACATTTTGCGGCTTCAAATCCCTATGGCAAACTCCCACAGCACTATGGAGGTAGGCAAGCCCTCTAAATATCTGTAAAACCTCCTCTAATTAGCTTAAAGAACATTACATAAGGAATCAAGCATGTAAAAGAGTACCATGCACACCTGGTACGTGTAAAGTTTCACATAGATAAGTGGCATTCTTTGATTTGCACTGCTGTAATGCTTCAAAACTCTGTACATGCTCTCCGGTACATAATCCATAACCAAATTAAGGAAAAGCTCATCTTTACTTGTGGTTGAGAAGAAACAGTGCTTCAAGGAAATCACATTAGGATGATCCAGTACACGCATCAACTGCAGTTCCCGATTCTTATATCTTCTGTCTTGCAAAACTTTCTTTATAGCCACGGTCTCTCCGGTTTCTAAGCATTTTGCCTGAGAGAAAAGATGGATCAGAGATCAGTATGTGAACACCAAGAAGGTAAAAACAACCAAGTGTGACTATGCATTAATACCTGGAAAACAATTCCGAAGGATCCTGTCCCCACTACTCGCTCTGCCATATAACTGATAGTCTGCAATAATCAAAACATCTAAAAACATGAAATTCCAAGGAAAGGAGTCTACTTATCATTCCTAATGTTCATCTGAAACGGATACTATCGATAACTAAAGCTGAACTTGAACAGGGATAAAACTGGGTAACCCAAGACGAGACATACCTGTTTTGGTTCTCCGTTTTTGCCTCCAATCGTTGTGGAAATTATGTGACCGGTGACATGATCGTTCCCATCGATGACAGGAGCAGACATTTCCTGGTAAATTAAGAAATATTCTGTTAGTAAAATAGAGCGAAAAGAGACTTCGAAAGAGCATATAAACTGGAGATCCAGAAAATGTAGAGAAGAGATAGCAGATTGAGAGATCCAAAATAAGAAGACAAAATTTTCATCATCTAGGGTTCGACGATTAACTCAACCAACAAGATCGCCGTAAAATAAGAAAAGAATATACGATTTTTATTTTCATAAAAATATATGAAAACAACTAAACAGAATCTGCAAATCTCGTAAAAAATCCCACCGACACCAAAATTAAACAGCACATCTAGAAGTAAAGAAAAATCCAGCAGACAAAACAAAAGTGCAAAAAAAAATCACCGGAAAAATGCTGAAGTTTTCCGAATTCACGATGTAGGGGGGAAGCAGAAAAATAACGTTTACCTTATCGTCAGCCATGCCGAGCAACCGGGAAAATAATAATGAGAAGAAAATAGACAAAAACAAAGATTTAAGTGAAGAAAGAGTAGCGGAAGATCATGATTGTGGCGATCATAGAGAAAAAAGGGAAGAAGGAAGAGGGAGGAAGACCCAGGGGAGACACACCAAACTAATGCCCATGTGATTCCACCTCCTCTTCCTCCTCCTGTTTTCTTTCTTTCTTTTCCAGTATTTATTTTTTATTTCTTTTATTATTTTCCCTCTGTTTACTTTCCGTACTCTTCGCGCCTCTTTTTATGTATGAACTTCCCGAACTACCCTTTCAGTCCCTTAGCTAATCGTTGTTGGCCGACGTTGATAATCATCGATTCTTTATAACGTTCTATGATTCGTCCTCTTCCGTTATGTATCCGTTTCCGTTACTTGTTCTTTTTTTTCATGGCGTGGTGTGTGGCAACTGGCAAGTTGGATTTGATGGGTTTGATGAATATTATCCTTTTCCAAGACACATAACATGAATAATGAAAATTTGGGCGTTTTTTCAACAAAAAAAAATAAAAAAAATCGGTGATCGGTATATTTATCGATTTAACATCCGTCAGATTATATTTTTTGATCTAACACCCGTAACAGTAAAATGCGCTTCCCATCTCGCGTAATATGTTGATTTGGCGTCACGTGGGGTATAACGCGCCCCTGTACCGCGCTATACGCTGACATAATTTACACGTGGGTATAGAGCGACCCCTGATCCGCGCTATAGTTGTTTATCTGACACGCGGGATATAGCGCGGTACAGAGGGCGCATTATACCTTTAATTACCCATCTTCCCTATAAATATCATCATCCTCTATTACTTTCATCACACCATATTCTCTCAAATTCTCTCAAATACTCTCTCTATTTGAGGTATATTTTATAATATTTTTAATATTATATATTTAATTTATTTAAGCATTTTTCTTTATTTAATATTTTACTAATATAATTTTTTTACAAATATATAATGAAATGCGGTCTACTTCGCTTGGATGGAAATCATATATCTCAACACTTTATTGATACGGTAACATTTTAACGTTTTAATTTAATTTAAATTACTTGTAATAATTTGTTGATTTATTTAATGCATGATTATTAGATTAAGAATTAATTTGTGTAATTATTTAATTTTAGGTGAAAGATCGTGTATTAGATCCTTTTATTAGGAATCTTAAGTTAGTGATACCTAATCGTGTCTTGCCGTATTTAGTATAGGCTGGATTTGGTTATATATGTAGATATTAGGGTCACTGTAAGATAGAACTAGACCTTATTTCTGCTTTAGTAGAGCGGTGGAGGCCGTAGACCCACACATTCCATCTTCCGTGCGGAGAGTGCACGATTACACTTGAGGATGTTGCTATGCACCTAGGGCTTCTGGTGGATAGAGATGTGATATCAGGGATCTCGCAGGGTTCCTGGACTACTTTGTGTAGGGATAATCTAGGACGTGTCCCGGAAAGTTTTATCGGATGTAGGATACCGTTAAATTGGTTAGATGCCAATTTTCGGGAGTTGAGCGCAGACGCCTCTGAGGATGAAGTTAAGATGTATGCACGGGCATGCATACTGCAGTTGAAAGGAGGGTTGCTGATGCTAGACAAATCGTGCAACCTAGTTCACTGCATGTGGTTGCGACATCTTAGCGACTTTCGTTTGGCCGGATCATGTAGTTGGGGCTCGACAGTTTTGGCTTTGTTGTACAGGGAGATGTGTGGAGCCACTGACTACAGGCGTAATCCTATCGGCGGATGTCTCCTACTGCTGCAGTTTTAGGCATGGTATCGATTGCCCTTTTTAAGTCCCGTTGTGAAGAACTCATTCGTATTTCCACTACTTCTGAGGTAATTATAAAACTAATTTTGTATATTAATAATTTTATACAGCGTATAATAATTTTTTTCCTTGAATAGGTGGTCTACTGATAGGAAAAATCATCAGGAGCTACCTGATGATTTAGAAAAAATTATGGTGCTAATCGATCAGAAAGCTGGCACACATGTATGAATTTTAATGTTTAAAAATCGATTTTAGATTATAGTTATATAATTAGATTATTATTTTGATAAAAAATTATATAATATTTGTTTTAGTTTGAATGGGTGCCATATTGTACTGATGATGTGAGAGCAGTGATCCCACCTGAGTTGAGGGGCCCATCATATGTTTGGATGGCGATGGTCCCTCTAATCTGTTATGCGACCGTCGAGTGGCACTCTACTGATCGCGTGCTCCGACAGTTTGGTTTTTTTCAACAAATTCCGGAAGCAACTCGCAATATGGACGAATTGCATAGCTTAGATAGACACGACAAGACATATACAGATTGGTTGGTGAGGCATCATGAGTGGGTCGTGTTGTGGGAGGATCGACATCGGCGCCTTCCCCGTAGATAGCCCATTTTTGATGACCTTTTGATGTTTGATGACGGTTATTATGAGTGGTTCAACAGTAACGAGAAACTGTTTCTACTTCCCGAGGATGCACGAGAGCAGACCTTTCCGCGATATCGATAAAGACGTTCACCGACACAGCATCATCGTCCCCCGACTCGTGGACGGAGAACAGGTGTTTCCGGTTCATCCTCAGCTGCACCAGCAGGACCTTTACAGCAGTCACCGCAACCATTTATGATGTCGTAGCCATATATGATGTCGCCGTCTTTCCATTACCAGATGCCGCCGTCGCCTTCACCTGGTTTTATGACCCCGCCGCCACCACCGTCACATATGACCCCTCCTGGAGGCTATTATGGATCTATGTTTGCAAATCTGACTTGGGGTTCATATACTGGATATCTGGCGGGTTCAGTCTCATCACCCATGGCCGCAGAACAAACACCTCATGTACAATTTTCACACTCAACGATGTCTGGGTTTTATGAGTTTTCCCAGTGTTCGCAGGCCGATGGGATAGTCAGTCATACACATCCAGGGTCCTTATTCTATGGAGGTGCTTCATCCTCATCAGCTCCTCATCAACCTAATGTACCTGCTCAGGACGACGACGATGGTGATGATGATGACAGCGAGGAGTCAGAACCAGTTATACGAAGAAATCCTCCTCGAGACCGACAGCCACCGCCTTGCGGAACACATTCGCGTCGCATGTATCGATAGATTTTTTTTTATATTTGTATTTACTTTATTTTGTTAAATTTGTTGGATTTTTTTAATGTATTTCAGTTAATTTTGTTTATTATTATTTAATATCAGTTATTGTAATTTGGTTATCATTTACCATTTAATTCTTATTGTAAGTTTGTTGTATTTAAAATTATATTCAAATACGAAATTGTTATTAGTTTGATAAAATTTAATGATTGTGTTTATTTTTTAATCTTCATCAGCGATTATCGAATGACATTAACTTGAAGTAAATGCAAATCAAAGTACAAGAATTATTATTTGATAAACAAATACATCATTTCCTCATCAATTGTTACTTGATGGCAACAGAAGTGGACATGTTTTTCTAGTGTGTCCTGGGTTTTTACAATGCCCACATCTTCTGTCTTGTATAGATCTTACTCGAATATCCATATCGCAATGAATTCGATTGGAATTTGGACGACCACGCTCCCTCAATAAACTCGGATTTAGTATAATCAGAAGCTAATCTTGAACCTCATCAGGGTCTTTTTCATTACCTATGGGGGAAACTCAAATTTGTATACCTTAAAAACTTCAGATAGTAGGAATACGGGATCCACAAAATGGTTATAGTCTTGACGTGTATGCGAGTAAGCTGCTATCACATGAGAGCATGAATACTTCAGAGCTTGAAAAAACCCACAGTCGCACGTTCTGTCCCTTAGATTTACTCTTAACGACACAACTTCAATCCCTTGAAGAGGTCGCGGCAACTCTGTGACATGAAACTTTTCATGCCTTCTAGAGAAGCTTGTTACAGACATTCCATTTGATGCAACAATTTTTTTCTGTAGATCTACAACTAATCTAGGGTGATAGACATGACCACCTTGCATCCAGGTTTGAGCTTGTCCCCCGAGCTTCGCAAAAAGCGCCCCCAAACAAAAATATATAGTATTTACCAAAGCCGCTACTGGTAAGTGACGTGCACCCTTTAAAGTTGAATTGATTGCCTCTGCCAAGTTGGTCGTCATGTGTCCATATCAATATCCACCATCATATGCGTTCGTCCACATTTCTTTATCGATGAGGCTGATGTAATCGTATCCTTCCTCGTTCTTTACCCGCAAATCTTGAAGCATTGATTCAAACGTTCTAGGAAGTAATTCGTAACCAGATAAAAAAATGTATAACTTACTGACTTGCTTTCTTTGCAAAATTAAAATGATTAAAAGAAAACAAACTACATCAGTTTCACTTACCCATGCACACAATTAATTGACGCTCATCATTCTTCTTGTACATTTTATGATAGTTCGCAGCAATGTGTCGGAGACAATACATATGTTGGACAAAGGGTGGTTGCCACATTGGACCCAAAGACTCCATTGCTGCTTTGATCCCAGCTCCGCGATCTGAAATGACACAAATGTTTTCCATCGTGATAACATGTGCACTTAAATTTCAGAGGAAAAAAGCCCAAGAATATGTATCTTCTCCTTCGACAAGAGCAAAAGCAACTGAAAGAATGTTGCGATTGTCATCTTGGACAACTGCCAATAATAAAACTTGCTTGTATTTTCCATACAAGAAAGTCCCGTCGATCTGGACCACAGGCTTGTAGTATTTGGCAGCATTAACGCACTGTGTGTAACTCCAAAAAACCCGGTAGAATTGGCTTCGATCGCAACGAACTCGATCATTATGGTATGCATAGGAGGTTTCGAAGTCCACAATTATCCCAGGATTCAACGTCCGTACCAGCCTAAACCAACCTGGAAGTTCATTGTAAGATGCATCCCATTCTCTATGAAGTTTGACAATGACATTTTATTTTGCCAACCAAGCTTTTTTATAGGAGATAGGGTACCCATACTACGATTGTATAGCTGAAATCAACACTGCAACAACTATATGAGAGCTTGTTTTTACCATGGGCATGATGGCTTGGCATATCATTTCAGAGTCCAAGTTGGGATGATCTTGGTTGACCCCTCTAGCACAACATGTGTGAGGACCGTTGTATAATGTTAGTTCACATATGTTGTTTTTCCTCTTCATTTTCGATACGTGAACCATCTAATTGCATCTGTTTT